CAGAATAGAAGATAGGAAACTCAAAGGAGGAATGCAGCTGAGGAAGGGGACGGGGTTTGGGAGAAAGATGGAAGATAGGAATTAGATATTGTTGATGAAGAGTGATGGGAGTCGTAGCCTCTGTATCAAGTGAGAGGGAGAGGTTTGGTCAGTTTCGGGTTCAGCTTGTTTTGCCCAAAGGGCCGTTTCAAGTGTTGTTTTTGGTTTTTTTTTTTTTTTCTTCTTGGTAGGTATGGATCTATGGTTTGTGTGGGGGTCTTTTGTTATGGGCTTTGGGTGCCTGTTGTTTTTAGTTCTTCATGGAGGTGCTGTCTCATCACATCTTTTAGGTGTAATTGTTTTTCTTTTTTAAGGAATTTTCCTTTTTTGTTTTTGATCAATAACACAATTCATTAATTATCACAATAAATTACAGAGGAAGACAAACTTTCTTATCTTCCAACTACATCATGAGCCCCAAGAGAGGAAACAAGAGAGAAAGCGAGAACAGAAAAAGAAGAAAATTAAGTTACATCTTTGCCCAGAACATGACATCCCTGTCCACCCCTTGTTTAACCCATCAGCAAAAGAATTAGCTGATCTTTTACCCAACTGATTTTGACTTCCATTTCTTGAACCAACCATCTGAATTTCCTCTTCCAAAATACTATAACTCCATAAACCACTATCTTCTTTGTTCAGTGTTATGGACCCGCGAATAGGATCTTGTCACGGGTCGGTCCACAGGGAAAACCTTCTGTTTTCCCTTGTTCCTCCCTATTCTTGAGGAACCTATCTTGGCGCCTTAATGGTGATTTGTTCAAGAGATCACCAACTCTCCTCTACTCTTTCTTGACTGAAAATTTCGATGCCTCTATTGAATATCATTAACTCCTTTAAATAGGAGATTACAAGAAGATAAGAATCCCACTTTTAGGAGGACTCCCTACTGATCTATACTACTGAATTTAGATAAGAACACTGAACAGATAAGACTCCCTACTAGATAAGATAAGACTCCCTACTAGATAAGATAGAACTGTATCTAGCTAGATAAGATGAATACACTGAATTAGATAAGATGAGAACACTAAAATGAGAACACTGAATTAGATAAGATGAGAACATTGAGTTAATCACCCATTACTGCTGCTGTCCATTAAACTCTGAATTAATCGCCCATTACTGCTGCTGTCCATTAAACTCTGAATTAATCGTCCATTACTGCTGCTGTCCATCACTGCTGCTGTTAGCGGCTGTAAAAGCATTCACAACATTACTCCCCTCCTAGACTAAGGGCTTGTCCTCAAGCTCGAATTCAGGATGGGTGTCTTGAAACACAGTCAAAGGAATCCAGGATAGGTGGAATGATTTTGCCCTCCTGGATCGGGTTCCAATGAAGAGGGTTCATCATCATCTTCCTCTTGTTCCACTAGGAGGCAGAAAAGTCTCTTGCACTTGTGCCCTGCTGAGTAAAGTTCATCACAATTAAAACATTGTCCCCTCGCCCTGCGTTCCGCCATCTCAGCCCTAGACAAGTGCTTAATAGGGGGTGCCACCACACTGCTTCCCAAACTGGATGTCGATCTGGAATCGTGGCTCGGCTGTGGTTTCTGTTCCCGGCTGGCTGCAGAAGATGGGGCCATGCCGAGTGGTTTCGGGGGTGCCCATGCTGTTTGAGGCCTTCCCATACTAATACTTTTGTGGTTGAGTTGCAGCTTGCGTTCAAAAGCGCGAGCCAAATTCATAGCAGTAACCAGATTGGGGGGATTTTGCATCTCCACATCCACCCTCAAAGCTTCTGCTAACCCTGCGGTGAACATGTCGACCTGCTGGTCTGGTCGTACCGATGATGCTCTTGCAAGGAGGGTCTGAAACTGACGCTGATATTCAGCCATCGTTCCCGTCTGTTTGAGGTTGATTAGTTTGCCTAATGGGTTGCTTGTTAATGGGGACCCAAATCTGAGAAGGCAATAGGATTTGAATTGGGTCCAACTGAGACTGGGTTCCTCCTGCTCTAATCTATAAAACCAGAGCTACGCCTCCTCCGTCATGTGGAATGCGGCTAAGCTTACCTTGTCTCTGTCCTCTGCCCGTTGGTTGCGGAAGAACTGCTCACATCTATACAGCCATCCCAACGGATCTCCCGCGCCGTTATAGGAAGGGAACTCCAGCCTGCTGTATTTGGGAACGATCGCGGCTCCCTGGGTGACGACCTGCCACTCGCCGGACAATTCTGCCGTGTCTGGATGGCGGTCGTTTGTGGTTGCAGCCCCTTCTGGATTCCTCTCCTTGCTAGAAAAATAGAGCTCCATCATGCGCCTTAATTCTCGGACATCTTCCTTGATCTCGCGCACCTTCGTGCTGTTTTCCCCGAGCTTGTGCTCCAGTTCATGAACCCTAGTCGTCAACTGCTCAAGGTCACCCATGACGCCTTGCTCTGATACCAAATTGTTATGGGCCCGCGAATAGGATCTCGTCACAGGTCGGTCCACGGGGAAAACCTCCTGTTTTCCCTTGTTCCTCCCTTTTCTTGA